TCAGCCGCTCTCTTTAACGGGTGTTGTACGCAAATAAAAGGAAATAGAGGAGAGATAAACAGTAAGGCTTTGGCAGTAAATACTTATTCGTGATATTTGCGTCATATTTGTTATTGAAACGCCTCAAGTGCTTGTGGATACAAGGAGCGTTTTCCGCCATTCAAATCTAATACGACGCCCATACATTTTCAGCGCGATCTCAGCGAGCACGAACTGTCGCGAGCTCCGCCCGTGATGGCCTCTTCAGGAGGCTAGCGAGGCTTACCTAACTTGTTGTCTTTTGAAGATACCAACTCTGTGACGCCGCATCCGCTGCCATAGGCAGAGTCACGATCATGCCAAGGACAATCCAGCTCGCTCGCCGTATTCCGTGGGCGAACGCGCTTTAAACACTGCGTCCTTACCAGTGAAACCAACGACCCTTTCTGCAGGGCCAGCATTTTTCCAAAAATTGATTTCTGCTACTTGCTTAACCCATCACTGGTGTGGACGGTTGAAATAATAATCTGGGCGGGGACAATATTAATATCATATTGTTGGTAATATACGCGCGCGACACAATACAGTACTTTAATATGACTAATAAACATGAAAAGATTAGAGGTGGGCAGCGGTATTACCAGGTCGTACGCGGTACTGTTTTGCACCGCCGTTGGTTGCGATACGCGGTACGGTTTTTGTGTGCGTGTAAGCTGTGTAGCGTTTTTTAGATATTTTACATACATCAATTTTTGTTCACTTGCCCTCGTCATTGGCATAGCTTATAATTCATCTCCGTCTGTCGACCGATTCAGCGCTATATTTCGCGTATCTTCGCAGCACCTATTCTAAATGGCCTAGTAGATAGTACTGCGCTGTTTTTTGAACTTTCATTACTTTCAAGACTAGTTTTCTAGCCTCCTAACACTCCTACTCTCGCCATGTTTGTTTCAAAGGGAATTTGCCAAGATATACAGTTACAAGAATAACGCGCGCGCGACCTGCCAGGCTTTTGTCATAGGCGCGGGCAGCGGTGCTTTGATGGGAAGAACAGGTGCGCGATCGATCACGAGCGCGTAGCGCGGTAGCGCGTTTCACTAATCGGCTCAGCATATGGTGGCCGAGATGGTGGCAGCAGATAGCTCACCGTGCGCGTAACTAAATTCAGCGTGTAACTCAGTGTGCGGGTAACTAAATTCGGTAAACTAACTACTCGCGAGGGTGTGAGACGGATATCTAGCGTGTTTGATATTGCTGGCCTCGCGCAGGCGAGAAACCCACGTATGCGGGCTCCTTGAGCTATCTAAAACTCAGCCACAATATATTTACCGCACCAATGAAAGTGCATCGGAATCGGCATGTGATTTTAAATGTCGGCGCCAATGGGCAATGTTCAGGACTGTTCAATCGTAACTGTGTGCGTCCCATGCACGCTCATACACACGTCGAGATCGACCATTGTAGTGGCACTGTGTGCGGCCCGGTACGCACTCATACACACGCGCGCGTACAGTGTATGTGCGTTCCATGCATGCAAGACACACCGGCGGTCACTACACTGATGGCCGGCCCGTGTGCGTCTATTTTTCCGTTACCGCAAATGCGCAAAGGTTCCTCTGGATTGGCTGCTTTGATTTGCTCTGACGCGAATGAACCTTCAAACACAACGAAGACAACGCCCCATTTGTAAATATGCTGTTTTAGTTCGTCATCAGGCGATTATAAGTAAGTTAAAACACACATTTTACTCATTAATATAAGATATAGATAATGCACTATAATAAATTCTTTGTGTAACTGTGTTATTTGCATCTTAATCTTAAGTTATAGGAGGGTTCTGGGCCTCTCGTAAGACGTATCTCGTAAACCCTGATAGCATACGTATAACATATCGAATGACCTTGTTGTAGATGTTATAACTACCCAGTAGCAAAACATCCCTATGTACCATTACAAATGGCAGTGTTCAGCGTGAGCCCAAACATTTTGAAAGTTTTGTTATTTCTTGAAAAGTTTGAGCAATTCTCAAGCACAAACAATTATGACCTCAGGGCTTATCAATTCAACAGAACTATATAAGATTCCATGACTCCGTATAACAAAGAATAATTCCTTTGGGTTTTTTCCACGAGCGCAAACTATCCATTGTCTTAATTAAGTCCCACAAAAATACACTGTATGATATAAAAAATTTTTTTTAAAAAAACGGGTGGAACAGTTTATTTGGAAACTCTAATCATATTGTAGCATACAAACTAATTTGTCGGCTGTAATGTATTGCTAACGCTGTTTCTTAAGAAAGTACATAAAGCATTGCGTTGTAAAATGACTTTATTTTTGGGACCATCTGAAATAAGCACCTTTCAGAGCCAAGAATGAATAATACAACCTATTTCTAATGTGCGTATTGTTTGTTTGTTTTTATACACTTGCTTCTAATTAAACATTAATGTTATGGCGCAGATCTACTTCACATTTTATTAGAGAACTTAGGACACCGGCCAATTTCGGTATGGACAGATTTTGCATGAAATAGTAAATCCATGGATATTAAAGATATTGATCAACTGTCCTGAATATAATACGTTTTTGAAACACTGATGTGCTACATGTACATTGGTCTCATACTTACCTGCAAGTTGGATGAAATAATTTTGCTAGAAAGTAATGCTTAGTTTTGAAGGCTATAATGTCACCAAACATATATGAACTGTTTCATCTTGAATAATGAAGAGGGTAAAGAAAATACATGATCAGTTAATCAAATCAACATATTGTAATAGGGTAAATTGTTGTTGGGTTCATTTTAGTACTATCTTTACTCTAGCTCCTAGTACTATAGTGGCGCCGGAGCTATCTTTTACTCTCGCCCGACAGACGCGAAGGCTACTCGTACGAGTTACGTTTATACCACTACGTTTAGTAAGTGTTTACGAGACGTCTTAACGAGGAGCCGCAAACCCTCTCGATAACTTAAGATTTAAGATTGAAAATTAAACACAGTGTACCAAAGAATTGTAATTATAGTGATATTATATTCTATTTAATTGAGTAAAATGTGTGTTTTAAATTACGTATAATACGCCTGATGATGAAGCTAAAACAAATATTTACCAAATGGGCGTGTTTGTTCTCTTGTTTTTGAAGTTTACCGTGCAGAGGGCAAAAATCAAGGCACCAATCCAGAGGAACCCTTTGCGGCATTTGCGGTACGAAAATAGATGACGGCGGCCGCGTACGCAGTCATCAATACCCAGCCGTGTAAGTTGGCATATGCGTCCATGCCGCATCTGACATGACATAGACAATAACAGCACGATACAGTACTACACTGGTCGTGCGGCTCGTGTGCGATTTCTTTTTCCGGCAGTCGACATATCCAGTCGAAGAATTTAGGCGCTTCTGATTGGTTTGACTTGTTCATCCTGCTCCTGATTGGTTCAAACAATGTGTTTGCTTATTTAGGCATATGTCATAGCTGCTATTTTCATTATAAAGTCTTTGTGGGGTGTGGATTACGGACACAAGCGTTATGTCTGAAAGGGCGGTGGTATCGATCCACGTTGGTTTTTAATTATTTTTTTGTTTTCTTATTTTTCTTCTTTATCCATTTAAAACTATTGTTTTCGTAATTAACGAATATTTGCTGATTGATTTAGCAACAATTAAATATTTAATGAAAATTTTTATTTAAAATAATTTAATTTTCAATTTTTTAGTGTTAATTTATATTTAATTAGGGTTAGGGTTAGGGATTCAGGGTTAGGATTAGGGTTAGGGTTAAGGTTAGGTGTTAGCGGTTAGGGTTAGGTTATTATTGAAATAATTGCCCAATTCCTTCGCTTATGCTTACAAATGGGCGTTTGATTCTCCTTGTCAAAGGCATAAGCAAATCGAAGGCAGCCAATCAGAAGCGCGCTAAATTCTATGTCGACTGGGAAAAGATACTCGCGGCCCGTGTACGCATCATAACACACGCGCGCGTACACTGTGTGGCGGCCCGGTACGCTCATACACGCGCGCGTACACGTGTGTTCGGGTTAATTCCCTGCCTTGATCGTTCTTGGAAATCGCGGTATACCGCTCGTAATACCGTGGTACTTTGGTAATATACCGCGGACCGCGGTACAACAAATGTCGCGGTACCCAACTCTATGAAGGATGATACTGATTAGTACACTATCAGAGAAGAACACGGGCAAACATGGATAAATAGACATTGTAGTGTGAAAAACGTCGATGTAGGATCGCTGCACGTGCATGTAACGTAGAAAAATAATCTAATAGGTGGGGATACATTTTACACTTCATTTAACGCTGATGCCGATTACGTACATTCCACCAACACCAATATACAACCCATTTTCCTAGTAGTTTTGTTGTTTTTCACAATCCACCGTCTTAGTGTAAACATGCCATTCCAACGAACCGATGTCACACGCACGCACACACAACACACGCACGTATGCTCGCACACCCACCTACACACTAGCTCGTCCCACTAACCCACACACACACACACACCACACACACACACACACAACACACACCACACCACTAATCAGAATGTAACATTGGACGTACAATATAAATATATACTCAATAATGCAATATGACCTCCTGTATTAATCTATATATTACCGTCTTGCTTTCCATGGCCGGCCAATAGATCTTACCAGCCTTCTTGACGGCTTTTCCACTTGGCTTTGGCGGCATGGTGTTAGATCGATCTGCGTTGCAGTAAAATCAGTCAGTGAATGTGTAAAACCGGTAGACGCTCGGCCCTATTTATAGGGGACGGGTGGATTGAGAAGGGCAACCAGGCATTTTCAAACCCCATTATCCGTGTCAATCAAAGGGAGAAGCAGCGGGAACCATCTACGCGTCACACCTGTTTGGCCAGTTGAAAACTTGTTCGCGCCAGTACAAGCATCTCGCGCTCGTCTATTGGTGGAAGCGAAGTACGGTCCAATCCTTATCGGATGTATATATAGGGCCTGGCAGAGTTTAGCGACACACTGTCGATCTTTTTCGTCGCTATATACATTCCGTCAACAACATGTCTGGTCGTGGTAAAGGAGGAAAGGTTAGAGCAAAGGGAAAGAGCAGAAGCAGTCGCGCTGGACTGCAGTTCCCTGTTGGACGTATCCATCGTCTGCTTCGCAAGGGCAACTATGCCGAGAGGGTTGGCGCTGGAGCTCCCGTCTACCTGGCTGCCGTCGTTGAGTACCTGACCGCTGAGGTGCTCGAGTTGGCCGGTAACGCTGCTCGCGACAACAAGAAGTCAAGAATTATCCCACGTCATCTGCAGCTGGCCATTCGCAACGACGAGGAGTTGAACAAGCTGCTTTCCGGAGTCACCATCAGCCAGGGAGGTGTCCTGCCCAACATCCAGGCTGTGCTGCTGCCAAAGAAGTCTGCCAAGGCTCATTAAATGGGAATCAGCGCCTGTACCAATGAAACCAACCGGCCCTTTTCAGGGCCACCATTTCTTCCCAGAAATGATTTTCTACATTTGCAATTCATCATTATTATATTATTTGAACGGGCCAAGTGCATGCGATATAGGCTACATGTTTTTTGACACCAATAGCGGCATCGTGCTTCTACTACACGTTATGCTGACACCGTAAATCATTGGAAACTATGCCTGCACAAACAGAGCTCTCAATAGTGGACATGGACAAAAGTGGAACGCATGCATATACACATATAACAGTGTCAAAATGTGCCATTTCCATTTCATGTTATCTGCTAATAGTTGTTCCTAGTTATCAGGAGGGCATAGTCCAATACTGTGTACTCACACATGCAGCAGTTGTATCCCCGTGTTACACTCTGATAGTTTAGTAAGCACCTCCAGTGTCCAGTCTTATCACCGATGTATATATCGCTATGGTAAAATCTTTGTAGCCAGAAAGAGCAGTCGGACATTATATAAAATAAATCATAATCATATACTTTGGTAATATCTTGGCCGCCATGCACATAAAGTGTGTGTGTGTGTGTGTGTGTGTGTGTGTGTGTGTGTGTGTGTGTGTGTGTGTGTGTGCGCGTGTATGTATGTGTGCGTGCATGCGTGCTTGTGAATGAAATCGGTATCAGCGGTAAATGAATATGTAAGCTATAAATAATAGCTACATATACCCATCTATTAGGTTATTATTTCATCTTTACACCATTTATCCGTACTGAGTACACACACAGAAATTGTTTCCTTCTAATAGTGTAGTAAGCAGTCGTATCCTTGACGTATATATCGCTATGGTAATATCAGTAAATCATCACGTTTGTGATTGTCATATGTATATATATATATCAAGAGCTAATAATATAACATTCTATTCCTTTCTATTATAGACTCTTGATATATATACAATAGCTATAATTATATCCCCTCCTATCTGATTATCAAAGAGCCCCAGGGCCTATAGGCTCTTTGATATTATTTCACCGTTACATACGCAGCGATTCTACATCGACGTTTTTACACTATTTGTCCATAACAGACAAGGGTTACAGGGACAATATTCACTTATAGCACGTATGGTTCGTCTACTTCATTATTACATCACATCTGTTGTCAAACAGTCATCACATTTGGTTTCTTAGTTATTGCGCGTGATGGGTAAAGCAAAGTAGAAATCATTTCTGGGAAGAAATGGTGGCCCTGAAAAGGGCCGGAATCGGTGGTGAGCCTGCAGATGTAGCCCGCCAAAGCCGTTACAGTGTAGGTATATATAACATACGTCCCTGACGTTTGAGAGCGTAGACAACGTCCATGGCGGTGACGGTCTTCCTCTTGGCATGCTCGGTGTAGGTGACGGCATCACGGATGACGTTCTCGAGGAACACTTTCAGGACGCCGCGGGTCTCTTCGTAGATGAGGCCAGAGATACGCTTCACACCACCTCTGCGAGCAAGACGACGGATGGCAGGCTTGGTGATTCCCTGGATGTTGTCACGCAACACCTTGCGATGACGCTTGGCGCCACCCTTTCCGAGTCCCTTTCCTCCCTTTCCTCTTCCAGACATGATAGTAAGCTTTAATGTTCTCTAGCGTCTTATTGAAGAATGATGCGCTCCCGTGCAGTCGAGCGGCATTTTATACCCCGCTCCAGCCGCGATAGCGGTACCGCGATAAGCAGCTAGCATAGGAGATCAGTCAGCCGGAAAGGGTGCGTACACAAACTTATGGTTGGCGCGAGTAACCGTTTTCCCGCCCTTTCCATCCAAATATATTCTATTCAGTACATTTTATCTCACTGCTATAGCTGATCATGACAACTAGTTTTCCCGTGGCTCATTTTTAACCTCATCGCGCCGAAAAGTGATTTAGCAAATTTGTATAACAATATAATATATTGTTTTACAAGTAGATTAAAGCCGCACTATGCGCATCCAAACGCTAATTTCTCCAGTACTAGACTAGCAAATACTTCGTGCCATGCATAATCACACTACCTTAATTATGACAAAATAAACTCTAGTTCCTCCCATTTCACTGCGCGTTTGCTTAAAACCCACAAGAAAGAGGTGAGAAAACTGGCATTCTGGCGCAAACGCCGACTGTTTGCCAAACAATTTAGCCTCGAAGTGGTGAGGTGACATCACATGTTTTTATCTTTGCTACACCCATACCGCTGTACCGCAGCACCGTTGTGCGGTTGCTTGGCAGGGCAACGCGAAAGTGTCAACAACATCGGAGAATTTGAACAACATTGTAGGTATTTTCAAAATACCTTTTATAAGACAACGTGCAGTGAAATGGGATCGAGGAACTAGAGTTTATTTTGTCATAATGTAGTGTGATTATGCATGCCACGATCGAAGTATTTGCTAGTCTAGTACTGGAGTAATTAGCGTTTGGATGCGCATTGTGAGCCTCGCGGGCTATAGTACTACTACTAGAGCTACTACACGTTATGCTGACACCATAAATCATTGGAAACTATGCCTGCACAAACATGCAGCTAGAGCTCTCAATAGTGGACATGGACAAAAGTGGAAGACGCATGCACATACACATATAACAGTGTCAAAATGTGCCATTTCTATTTCATGTTATCTGCTAATAGTTGTTCCTAGTTATCAGGATCGAGGGCATAGTCCAATACTGTGTACTCGCACAGCAGTGTATCCCCGTGTTACACTCTGATAGTTTAGTAAGGACATCCAGTGTCCAATCTTATCACTGCATGATGTATATATATTGCTATGGTAAAATCTTTGTAGCCAGAAAGAGCAGTCGGACATTATATAAAATAAATCATAATTATATACTTTGGTAATATCTTGGCCGCCATGCACATAAAGTGTGTGTATGTGTGCGTGCATGCGTGTGTGTTAATGAAAACCCTGTATCCCTGGATGAACCCTGGATGAACCCTGGGGGAACCCTGTATCTATTATTCTATTCTTTTCTATTATTGACTCTTGATATATATACAATAGCTATAATTATATCCCCTCCTATCTGATTATCAATGAGCTCTTCGTTATTATTCCACCGTTACATACGCAGCGATCCTACATCGACGTTTTTACGCTATTTGTGCGTAACAGCCAAGGGTTACAGGCAAATATTCACTTATAGCACGTATCGTTCGCCTACTTCATTATTACATCACATCTGTTGTCAAATAGTCATCACATTTGGTTTCTTAGTTATTGCGCGTGACGGGTAAAGCAAAGTAGAAATCATTTCTGGGAAGATTGGTTGTTTGTTTTGTCTATCGGTGGTGAGCCTGCAGATTTAGCCGCCAAAGCCGTACAGTGTACGTCCCTGACGTTTGAGAGCGTAGACAACGTCCATGGCGGTCCAACAGGGAACTGCAGTCCAGCGCGACTGCTTCTGCTCTTTCCCTTTGCTCTAACCCACAGGCACTTGAAGCGTTTCAATAAAATATAATGCTAACTAAATACGAAATCTATTCACTACCAAATTCTTAATGTTTCTATACTCTCTTTCACCTATTATTGCCGACAGTTTCCTGTAAATTCCGTCCAAATCCTATGTAAAACATACGCTGCCGGCGGCCATTGCTCTCGCGGCTGCACTGTGCACACTTACACTTATATATAGTTGTATATATATT